TCTTACCTGCTGAGCCATCTCTGCAGCCACAGCAGTCCCATAATTCTCAATACTAAGAATGAAAGTCTCCACATGTTTGTCCCTATAGACCTTCACTTTTCTGCCATTGCATGGGTCACTACCTCAAATTCTTGCATTTCCAAAATTAGTAAGGGCAAGTATTTTATTGTCACTTCTCAATTCTTATTTTATAATCTTAACATTGAATGAGTCTGTTCAAGCTATGTGAGCAACAGAAACACTTTTTTTAAGGATGGATTTATGAACTGAAATTGCATCCATCTGGCCTCAGTTTACCCCTCTGAGCTCTTAAATCCCCCTTTGAGTATATAAAGCAGATTGTTCTTGCAAACTTGGTCTCCAATTACAATATTCCTTACAACTTTCAGATATAAAGCACATATAGAAGTAAGAAGAAATCCACCCTGACTAGCCTTTCTTAGTTTAATAAATTAATAAGTAATTTTTATCACAGTTGCCTTACTGCTATGGGCTCATCTTTACTGAAAGCCTATTCTGTCTCTGACCCCTGGCAATAACCATCTGTTTTTCCCGGCATTTAAATTATGCTATATCTGGAATGTTCTCAAAATGTTTTTAATAAGTATTTTTGTTCTTAAAAAAAAAAAAAGAAACCAGACTATTCATGTTTGGAAGTTCTCCGTGGACTTTGTAAGATGATCCTTTGGTAACATATAGGTCTTAAACAGCCAGGGCTAAATCCTCTCCAATCTTCTTAGAGAGTTCAAACACCTGAGAACTGCTAACCATGAACAAAGGTGGGTGTTTGTGTAATCATTTTCAACAGATTGTCACATAAATGTCTGGAACATTCCAGAATACTAAAACTTTATGTAGATTTCTGTAATGATACTATCTCACCCGTTCTGAACATAATCCTCCCCCAAAATAATACTTTTCCAAGGTTGATTAAATAAGAGGCCAGAAAAGATGGTCATGGAGACTAGCCAGCGGAGGGGTGTCAGGGAAGAAGCCCTGTGAGCAGAGCTGACATTTACACCAATGCTAACCCAGGTGCAGCCGATTCTGCATGTATAGCTACATTTCTGATGGTTAGATATCTGTGCCATGGCTCTTTCTCATTTCAGCACAGCACATTTTCTGTGGAACCCAAGATTGTCCACGGAAGCACCCACTGCTGTTCACCTCTTCCTGTGCTTCAGTTCTAGATAGCCAGCCATCCCTCCTGACCTCCACATAGCCTAGTCTCAGGAGAATGAGGAACAGAAGGCCCTCAGGAGTGGTTTTCTTATCTGCTTATCTACAATACAGCCCTTTCCGCTTTCAACAGTAGCTACAATGCTACTCGTCTTTCATTAGGTCTTTGAGCCTCCTGTTGGAGTTCCCCTCCCCAATCACTTGTCAGAAAGCTGAGAGTTGACCCTGTGCAAGTCTGTAGCTTGCGTTTTGCATATTTATTTTAGGAGTACACCATCTATGTTATTGCAACATGAATATTCCCTTCTCTTTATTATATTGGTCTTCCTGCATTTGACTCGTTTATTATTAGCTGTCAAAAATTCTTTGGGGAAGTTGTTGGGTATAAATAATAAATTGATGAAAGAATTCATGATGAAAGAGGAGACAGAGGCTGCCATTCTTCTGGCTAACATATTGCTGATGAAGACTGTGGCTACCTTAACAACTGGTGTGTGATGTATAGCTTTGTCTAAGGGATATCTGTACACAACTTCCATGGTTTTTAATTCACTGGAAAATTTAGGGGCTGTTCACTTAGGAGTTAATATTACTGAGTTTTTAAACTCAGTGAAGTTCTCTCTATGAGAATGCTAAAATATTAGCGTGAGGGCATTTGGGACTATAACAGGAAAACCACAGCTATCTTTACTAACTCCATAGCAAACAAGTGTAAAAGACTTTTCATCCCAAGCCACTGAGCATCATGTCCTCCCTCAAGTTGGGAGCCACTGATAGTGTTGGGCCTATGCACACACACACACACACACACACACACCTCCATCACATACCCCCGAGATTATTGTGAAAAGACTCATGCCCCTTTCTTAACAAGGTCATGACTTTCTGTTAGGCTGTGGCAGAACCTTGCTGGTGAGACAAGATCATGTAACTTACCAAAATAAGACTGCTTTCGGTTATTAATGCCAAGAAAAGCTCATCGGAACCAGGAGTCTGTGATTTGACCACAGAGGAGGCTCCTGTCCCTGGCTCCAGGGGGGTGCTCTCTAAACAATTACGCCGCCGGAGAGAACTGCCCCCTTGTATCTTCATCACTGGGTAGCTGAGCTGTGTGCCTGTCAGATTTCCTCATCTCCCCTCGAGTGACAGCAGCATTGACAACATGTTATACTCCACATTGATTTTACAGTTAAGGAGCTGATTGTGATGTATAAGGATTTTACGAATTCAGCTGAGAGGCTGACTTTTGCCTTTTATCATTCCATTAAAATTTTATAACCATCTTTTTCATGTCACTTCACCCATGAATTCTTACTTTAGAAAGTGATAGCTACTGCGGCGAGCGTAACTCTCCCCGTGTTCACAGCTTTTTATTGTATTAGCCAACTACCCCAATTACAGTTATTACTCATGTTTTACATAATTGTGGTGACCCTTTCAACTGAGCAGTAGCAGGACAGTTGATTTGTATATAGAATTAGATGATCCTGCTTATCATTTTAAAGCACGAACTTGAAAGAGTGCCAGAAGTCAGGTTTTAACACTTCCCTAGCCAAAGGAGCTAATTAAGCCAAGTCTGTTCCTCTCCAAGATGCTTTAAAGGACCCTTCTGCAGTGAAAGCAGGGACTGCACTCAGCTTCCCCGAGAGAGAAGCTAATAAAATGTATGCTGGCTTTGGGGAGCCGGGATCATGAAATTGAAATTGAATGTCCCCTCTTCCCAAGATAAGAGGTCTTTAAGGAAGAGCTGTGTTCTGTGGGAGTTTGAAGTGCGAGTTGGGCTCATTATCATGGATGTTTTACCTATCGCACATCAGCATCTTCCGGAGAAATAAAAGGCTTTATTCTCATCACAGAGAACAAACTACATCCTTGTTGGTTCTTTTCCCTGAAGAAGCGCATGGCTTGATAGCTCACAGAAGAGGGAATAATTATGTGAGACCCTGATGAAAACCTTCTCAGAAACATTCTGATTTTTTAAGTGTATCTTATTCTTCACTGGGGAGAGGGGGCGAGATAGGGTTAGGCTGAAGGTTTAAATCTCCACCATCGATCTTACAAGCTCCCATATCAGAGGAATTATTATTTTTTTTTAAGATTGCAAAACAACATTCATAGCTTGCAAGAGTCTCGCTTACTCTTCTCTGGGAAATAGCTAACTGTGCATGACACGCCTGGCTAAGAAAAAGCCTTATCCCCATGTTGGTATGATAATTGCTTCGGTACCTATGTACTGGAGAGGTGAGAAGAAATGTCACCGATGCATTCAGATGGCTTTCAAGTGGAAGGTAACAACAGAGCAGCCTGGGGAATGCCCAGACCAGCATCACTGGGATACAAGGATTTCTCTCTCCACAAAGGACGTGTGACCAAATTGTCAAAAATGGCTTGATATCAAGCCCCTTCAAAAGATGAGTTAAGATTCTACCATGAGTCCAGTTGGTAACTAAAATGTGGGCTATTCTGTTTGCAAACTCCCTGTAACTGTCATTATCACAGTCACCAGCTTCACAAGTCTGTGGCTGCTTTAACACTTAGACCTCGATGGGACACTGAATCACACATTCACACTCAAATCAATGCTGTTTTAAACAATTACTAAATCCAACTATATCTTTTTAAAAGATTTTCAATAAAATCTAATGTTCACAGGAAAAAAAATCTCATAAATGTCAAAATTGCTATGGGCAGAAAAGAGGGCTATAGTATTTTTTTTTTGATCTGTTGTAGCAATTTATAGATCTCAGGCCATGGTTTATAAGAATGCTAAATGTTCTGGAATTACAGCTGTTACTGATCAGTGATTGAGCCAGATTTGTGTTATTGCGCCATGTTCCTGCTTGTACCTAGAGAGCAGTAAAGCCGCAATATAATAAAAAGCACCTGCATTTTAAATGAAATTTCAATTGAAAAACTTAACAGCCCTTCAAATTGCAGAATTTAACGCAGCCCAGTAAAGCTTAAATAACACTTTGCCAGTGCGGGCTGAGGGGATTCGCATTCAAGGTGACTTGATTGTGTCGCATGGTGAAATTATTTACAATTAAGGAATTTCTCTGGAGGGCTGCAGAGAGCTTGCTGCCCCCCACCACCACCTCTGCAGGCATATGGTGGGCCTTTTTCAGTATTCATGGGGCCTCCCGAACCTTTATGATAATTGAATCAGTTAGAGGGCTGAGTGGAGCAGGCGCAAAACCTGTTAACCTAAAGGTCAGATCTGTGCATTGTTTATTTATCTGTAGGTGAAGGAGCTAGATCATCATCAGCTCTGTCACAGGCGCAGAAAAAAAAAAATCACCGATAATATTAACAGGGAGTAGATAAATCGCAAAACATGGATTAGCATGATAAACAGAAGCAGCATCCTATGGACTGGCTAATGCTGCTGCTGCAGGGCTTCTCTGGGTTGTAAACTCACAGGTCTGTTAGAACATAATTAGTACTGGAGATCCCGGGAGCAAACTGTGGCCAAACCCAGAACTTTTGTTAAACTGTCAGCTTGTATATTTCTCTTCTAAGCCCTTGATTTTAAAAAGCAAACACAAAACAACAACAATCTTTACGATATTTTTCAGCATTCGCTTTAATTAAAAGAAATGATTTTTGATGGATCTCTGTTAGGAAAGAAAGGACAGTCTCAGAAATACTCAGCAAGGATCTCACTACCATGACGAGCAGAACGGTCATGCCCGTTTTCTTACCCGTTACCTGTTTGTCTCTTGTTCTAAGAGTACTAAGTACTCGTTCGTTTGAGTTTTACTGTTGAGAGTCTGTGGGAAGTTTGTGAGATCGTGACTTTATTGCTGTGTTCTTCTTTCTAGAGCCCGGACCTATAGATGCACCAGTTCTTCTAAATGTGAAATCCAGGATGATGTCAGTCGTCTGGCGGCAGCCTGCAAAGTGCAATGGGGCCATTACCCATTATAACATTTACCAGCATGGCCGTCTCTACTTAACAGTCTCTGGAAGTGTCACTAACTGCACTGTGCTCCGTCTGCAGCCTCGCACGGCCTATCACTTCCAGGTAGAAGCCTGTACCTCCAAAGGGTGCTCTAAGTCACCGGCATCTGAGACTGTGTGGACACTCCCGGGAAATCCAGAAGGCATCCCAAGCCCAGAGTTGTTCCCATACACTCCAACATCGATCATAGTATGTTGGCAACCCCCGGCACAATTTGATGGCTTGATTGAGAATGTTACACTCGAGAGACGAGTCAAAGGGAAAGAGGAAGTCAGGAACCTGGTGACCCTCCCAAGAAGTCAAGCCATGAAGTTTATAGATAATGACCCTGCCCTCCACCCTTGGACACACTATGAATACCGGGTTCTGTGGAGCGCACTTAATGGAGGCGCAAACAACAGCTCATGGGTAGAAGTAACCACAAGACCCTGCCGTCCTTCCAGAGTGCAGCCACCCACGGTGCGTGTGCTGGGACCAGATATAGTCGAGGTAAGGTGCCCGGTGTTTTGGCTTCTCTGCAAACCTACAGACGTGTGAACCTACCCTGGCTGTACTCTGTGTTGAACAGAGCCATCTACTGACAAGACTACCACATTTATTGTCTTAGGCATTTGCCGCAGAAACTGGGCTTTTGGCCTTTAGCCCAAACTATCTCAAATTCAATGTCAGCTTTTCACTTCTCCCTGTCTCCCTTTAATTATATTGTTGAGAGACTGCTATTTGCCTCATACACATGAAATACTTTGATACCGCTGTGGGATGCTTAGCCTCGGCGCCACAGCATATTTAAACGGATCAGAAAATGAGACTAGATAGGGAGCTGATGGAAGTCCTGAGAAGCATATTAACAAACAAAAATTCCACACAATAATATTATGGGCTCCTTTTTTAAAAAAAGAAAAAGTCAAAGAACTAAAATGATGGAAAAAGAAATTAAGAAAATAGCATATTGCTAGGGTATCCAGAAAGCTCAATTATTTGCCTCATTCTTCAGGGATTGAACTCCAGAGGATGGGGTAACTACCATTGTTTTGGCTGGCATACAAACTTCATTCAAGGGAAATTAGTGTAACCAAACAGGAGGGAGTTTTGCAGCTTAGAAGCCTCTTTTGTGTAAATACACACATGCTTCCGTGGATTCGGTCTTGTACCACTGCCAAAAGGCTTGGTACGGCGGCTTGCTCACCAGAGCACAAAGCAGAGGGCATTTGCATAACAGCAAAGTTCATCTGTTGGAATTATTCCTTGGGTCTAGGCTGTGGTCTCACTTGCCAATGAAAGACACACACTAGGTGATGCTAGGTAAGGTAAAATTTGGAAGAAAATTCATTAAACCCACAAGCTAGAAGTAACTGCTTATCCATTTTTTATTTAATTTGGCCTTTGAAAATTAAACACCCAAAATAATCTTAATTGTCTTCCCTCTGAGAATTGTTAAAGGAAAGCAATTTTGGTAAATTAAGTAAAGCATATGTTATTCTGTTGATCTAGTACTAAATGGAATTTAATTTTTAAATACAGCATATATATGGTATTATTGTATGAACTGGAAAAATCATAAGAACTGATCTTTGGTCAAACAAAAAGCAAAACAAGAAAAAAACAAACAAACATAGAATCAGTAATCATTCCACAACTGACATTGTTGACTTTGGAAAAGTTCTGTGGGACTTTGGGTTGGCGTTGGTTGATGGCCGGTTTTATGGAATACACAGTCCCTTCACAAAGGTGACAGCTATATCACAGACATTATTCTGATTTTTTTCTTCTACCTGTCCGATTGCTGGGAGAGTTTTCATTACCTTGGCAAGGGAGCCGAATCCCATGGGTCATCACCTCAGGCCCACAAAAGTACAGTAACCGCAGGCCAAGTTTTTAGAAAGAATTTGAAGTACAGAGGTGTGGCAGCCAGGTGATAACTTGGGTCCTCACCACTGCATCAATTCCCATTTTCAAACTAGTAAATGAAAAGCACACAAGAAATACTGAACTGAATCTGGTGCTTCGTGGAGTGTACTTAAATGTTGCTGAAAGAGCATACTTTTGTGTTAGTATTATTGGCTCAACACTGTACTTGGGAGATAGCTTAAAACTTTACCAAAGTACATTTTCTAGAGTGGATTGCCTCTGGTAAACAGATAGATGCCTAGGAAACTGTGACTTGCTCTCTGCAAGGACAGATCTGAAATCAAAATTGCAAATAGATAAAACATTTATGAAGAACCACAGGGTAGTCATTAATGCACGGGTTAAGAAAGCCATTCAATATTTACCATGCACTACTGTTCTAAGTAAATTGTCAATAATATTAACAGTGACGATATGTTCCACTCCCCATGTTCCTTCAAGCACATTTATGAATGTCTCCTTTTGACACCAGAAACAGAGAGCAGGACCAAAAGAAAGCCCCTCACCTGGGGTGGGGGGGGGCTTACATCATAGATAAGTATGCATAATAAGAGTCCTGCAACTGGCAAGGACTGGGAGGGGAGACAGGGAGCAAAATTAAAGGTTAATAGGGAGAGTGGTTGGGGTGATAGATGATGGTGTCCCACTGATCTCAGTCAAGGCGTGTTGCTAGTAGTGCTAGTATGGACCAGGTAAGTTTAAAGAGAAGAACTGCATTGGCTGGTCGGTGTTGAAGCTTCCAGGACATGGGACCACATCTAGTGATGTGCTTCTCACCAGCAGCATCCCAAAGCTGTGTAGGTACCAGAGATGGAGAGACAGGAATCCTGTAGGTTCCTGTGTTCCTCTCTGGTCCCTCTCCATGTTACAAGCCCCCTGCCTTCTGTCGTCATTGGGCTGGACTCTCATGTATCTAGTCCTGACACCCATCCACGGTCTACCTCTAAACAGCAGTCAGATTAAATTTTGACCTCTTTAATGCCTCACATGGGAGTATTAGGGTTGAAAATTAGAGTTGGAAATTAGGGTTTTGTTTATTTGTTTTTAAGGGACAACTTGGAGTTGAGAGGTTTTATCACCTTGTTTTTTCCCTGTTCTATATAGTGTCACCTGCAGGAGCTACTGTCCAATAGGGACAGTGGGGAAAGTAACACAAACTGAGTAGACTAGAAGACAAACAAATTAACATATTAGTTAAGTATTACAAAGTAACATATTAGTAAGTATTACAAAGTAACATATTAGTAAGTATAAAAAGAGTTGCTACCCAGGCCAGACCTAAGAGACTCCTGAAGATGACACATTGAAGTTATACTCAGGCTTCTGCGTGAGTTCAAGGACAGCCTAAGTAACTTAGTGAACACTGTCCCAAAATGTGCAGAGAAGCTGAGGATGTGACTCGGTGGTGGAGTGCTCACCTGGGCTCAATACCTGACCACTAAAACATTACTTATATCTTGTTAAAGACATAAGTATTAAGAAAAATTGGATCACACAGGAGGTCAAGATCATATTCTTAAAATATGACTATCAGGAAAGAAAAGCTTCTCAAAGTCATTATATTATGTGAAAAACGAAATCTATTTACTTCTGTGTGGTACTTAATTTCCTGAAAAATTAAATTTCACTTTTGAAAGTCGGTAGGAAGTCTCTACTCAGACTAAAAAGGCTAGCTCAATGAAAGTATAGAATAATTTCATGTTTGAATATCAATATAAAACTTTTGAATAAAATATTAGCAAATTGAGTTAAGCAGAATATCAAATAATAGAATGAGACAAATTTGATCTGGTTCCACAAATGTAAGGAAATCTCAATAGCCAACTGTCTGTCAGGATGCCTCTTCCATCAGCCAATTAGGGAGAAAGCCTGTTGGGGTTTTTCCCATAAAAATACTCACAGGGGCTGAAAAAGTGGCTTAGCAATGAAGAGTAATTACCACTCTTTCATTGGACTTCAGTTCAGATCCCAACACCCACATCAGGCATCCCAAAATTGCTTAACAACTCCAGTTTCATGGGGCCCAACACCGGTGATCTGGCCTCCTTGGACACCTGTACAGAGGTAGTATACATAAACTCACACAGGCACCCACAAACATGTAAATAGAAACAATAAATAGTTTTAAATGACTTTATAAGATTTTGAAGCCATTTCTTTACAAAGTAAATAAGCATAGTAAAATCAGATTAGAAAGAAGGGTTTCAAATAGGATTCAGCCAACCTATAGGTTGCCACAGGAAAGCACTTAGTAAGGATAAGAGATAAAACTGAGAAATAAAAAGTAAAGTGCAGAGATCACCAGGTTGTGCGTCTGTATAGCAGCGACAAACCTTATTTTATGGTGCCACTGGGGACCCCTAACTTTGAACCCTCGTCTGCTCGGCTCACTTATGCTGAGACTAGAATGTGCCTTTGCTTTATTTGTTAAACTATGCACCAGCTTCAGAAATTCAACTACGGCTCTCGAAAATATATATATAATGCCCAACTATCCCCATCCTCTATAAAAGTAACCGCTTCAGCCCACATGCCCACAAGGTAGAGCAAGGAGTTTCATTTAATTGAGTTATAAACACTCAAACCGATGCTGCCCTACCGAGGCTTGTGGACGTGTGGATGGCCTCCATGTGCTTGTTCCCACGTGGAGATGAGTCACTCAATGTGTGCAGGACTCTCACTCTCCTAGAAGGCATTGTAGCTAAGGCCAAGCCCCTAGGCTTCCTAAAGCAGCTTCTACCTGGTTCCTGCCTTTCAGCTCATTGACCCCGAGGCCTTCATTTCTGTCTACTTCAGAGGGCTAAGTTGAATGTAGGTCTTCAGAAAATGACTTCCAGGCAATGAGGCAAGAAGAACAATAGGCGTCATGAACTTCAGTTCTGGTGTTCTCATGCTGATGGTCTTCTATTTCAGGTCACTTGGAAAGCCCCACTTATCCAGAACGGAGACATTCTGAGCTATCATATCAGAATGCCGGACCCTCTCATCAAAATAACCAATGTGACCTCAACTGTATTGTGTCATCGGATCAAGCATCTCATTCCTTTCACTAACTATTCAGTAACCATCGTTGCTTGCTCTGGAGGTAACGGGTATCAAGGCGGGTGCACGGAGAGCCTACCTACCTTTGCTACTACCCACCCGGCCCTGCCTCAGGAACTAGCCCCATTGTCTGTGGTTCTTCTAAGTGAATCTTATGCTGGGATTTCTTGGCAGCCACCATCCAAACCAAATGGACCAAATTTGAGGTAAAGAAAGTGATTTTACTTTGGAGTTTGTTTTAGCTATATCATTCTAAGAAATAGAGGGGTGGGACTGTATTCACATCTCAAGATAGAATTAATTCCAGACTGCATACCATACCTACCTCCACAAACTCATAATAATTATACAGTACCATCTATTATAACAGTTGTATAATTCTACATTTAAATGGAAGCAAGGGCATTCACCAAGTAGGAGAGAAAACCATAACGTTGTAACAGACTAAAAACCATCAAACACTGAATCCATCACTGGGAGTTAATTTCACTTCATTATTTTGTTATTCCTTTTAAAAATATTTTTATTCTGTTGGACAGCTCTGGCACATGTTCTGTGTAACAGGGTGGGACAACCGTGCCTCTGAACTATAAAGTTAACCCTGAAGTTGTCTCCATATCACCCACCACTCTCTACAGACTTGTGAAGAACGTTCTCAGAGATAAGACAGGAACAAAGAGCTGTGATTCAAACATGGTTGTGCAGCAGCTAGAACTGGATACTTGGCAAGAAAAAAAAAAAGCAGAGTAGATAATATCACTGTTTGTAAAATTTTTGATGGTAGGAGTCTTAGAAAATCATTAACTTGATAAGATTTTTATATGCCTCCTTTGTGTGAGACTCTCAATAACTATTGAGCAAATCTAACACAGAAATCTAAAATGTTACCATTCCCACTGATGTTAAAAAATATGAGTGGAAATGATAATTTCCAATTAACAGTGTATATGATAGTTGCACCAGAAAAATATACTTACCTGGAAACACTTTGTAATTGCACTGAGGTATTATTTATTCTTGCATGAGTGTATCATACCTGCCATTAAACTACCTGAATCTCAGTAATAATGTTAGTTGAGACAGTCATGATATTCCTGCTTGTCTTTTGCTTTAGATACGAGCTTCTGAGACGTAAAATCCAGCAGCCACTTGCTTCAAATCCCCCAGAAGATTTAAATCTGTGGCACAATATTTATTCAGGAACTCGGTGGTTTTACAAAGATAAGGGTCTTAGCAGGTGAGATTACGAAAACTATAAAAACAAATGCTGGCATTTAGTTTGGGGCATGTTGAATAGTTCAAAGTGCCTCAGCGTCTTCGTTGTGTGCACCTGTTATCAGTCACACAGTAGAATATGTTCAGTTATTATCTGTGGCATTAATCATCCAGGTGTAGCCAAGGCATGTTTAGTGTTTGCCATCTCAACTGTGCGCTTGCAATAAGCCTTTCAAATCAAACTTAGAGGCATGTGAGTCCCAGCCTATTGCCTTTGTCACAGCTCTATCTAGACATGGAACTTAGTAAAGGAATGTGGAAGTATTGACTATATACAAGGACTGTGAAGATCACTGTGTGCTTTGTGTACATGTCTCTGCTCAGAGGTTATGGGTCATTGAGTTAGTGAGACTTGAAAGAGTTGAATCTAGAGTTTAAAGCAAGCATGAGCCAGTAGGTGATATCTGTCAAAAAACATATATCACATAATAAGTTTGATCTAAATTCTCTTTCATCTCCTGCTAAGGAACCAGCTTTGTGAACCTAGATAATCCTTTCACCATCTCTGGGTGTAATGGTAACTTTTATTTGCTTGACGTGATTGTCATTTCCATCTGATAATCTAGGCCTAGTCCTGGGAGCTTTAAGCCTCTGTACAATCTTATTTAGGCCTAGAATGTTTTCAGCCTCTGAGGACTGCTGCTTACTAATCTCACCCTTTCTAGATCTTTCAGAACTCTGGCCAGCTGCTTCAACTTAGCTGTTCTGGTTCAAACTCCTCTCTACTCTGACCGATTCAATCTGGCTTTTCTCTCCCAGCATCTGACTGAATTGCTCTGCTTAGCCTCAAACTAATCTTTTGGCTCTTTCTCTTTACCTGACTCATTCTGTCTTCACTGGTGTCTAGCTTGTTCTCTCTTCATCCTATCTCTATAAAATTCTCCCAGTAAAATTCTCCTCTCCTTGTCCCCTCCCCCTGCTCTCTCTTAAGTCAACTCTTGTTCCTCTCTGTCATCATGAGACTTGGGCATATCCTATTCTGTTAAATCTTTCTCTGATTCATCAGTTTGTCTGCCACTCAACTAGACATCACTTTCAAACACGGGTGCTTCCTTCTACAAACTAGCTTTGCCTTCATTGTTTGGTATTAAAGATGAGTGCTAAGGGCGTGTCTGTATTCCAAGTGGAGGGATTAAAGGTGTGTGCTAAGGCTGAGCCACACCGCAACAGGTTTTTCAAGTAAACAACGCAATCTTGGGGTTCACAGTATAAATATATATCCTATAACATCTGGGCTTTCACCTGTATTGTCATTCACAGGATCCAGTGATTTCCTAATCTTCTTGATCCAGGCAATATGATGACGTTTCAAAGAAATGCCTGAAAGTCTTTTGTGAAAACCTGTCAGTTATATCTTTCAATGACCTTTCACAGAGTAACTATTGTCTGTGCCCTGTCCTAATATCTTTTCATTCATTGCTTGCTCCTGAGTCCCAGACTCATTCCCGCTATGTTCAGAATGTCCAATGTGGAGAATTCACACCTCTGATCTCATTCCTCACCAGGCCCCTTCCCATCATCAGAATGAACCACACCCTAGTTTAACTAGGAAGTTCTTCAGGAAGCTGCCTGTCCACTCTCTTGCTGGTCTGAATATGAGTTGAAATGAGCATACTCATGGAAGCTATTTCTAGAAGGACTGTGGAGATACACAAACTTGTGTTGGGGCAGTCTTAGTGGACGTCTAAGGCTAAATGTCAAGGACACTTTTTTCTACACTGGAACTTGAAGCAGTGGTCACTGTTTTTATTCAAATAACAGAGGGACTGGAGACTATAAGCCCAGCTGGTAGAGTGCTTGACTGGAATGCAGGAATCCCTGGCTTTAATCCTGAGCAAGGAGGATAAATGGAGTGTCCAAGGAAGGTAGAGACAAGAGGGTCAGAAGTTCAAGGTCATCTTTAATTATCTAGTAAGTCATTGCTTCTACCTCATCAAAGCTTGAGGTTAAAAGACAGAATGAGTTTCTGTTTCTGAACATTCAATACATATATATGGCACACGTTTTTGTAAGGTGAGATCATGCTTTTTTTAAAAAAAAATCATTCTGCTATTTGTTCAAAAATGTCCAGGCTACTTTTGCACAAAGTGGGGCATCTCACCAGTCTGGAAGGAAGCTGGAAATTAGCCCTCAGAAGGGCTCAGAGAGTGTGGGCTCAGAGAGTGTGGGCTCAGAGAGTGTGG